ACATAATACCTCATCTCAGAAATATAGACAGATACCCACTTAGACTGTTTTTACATTTATATAAATAATTAAATAATCATTCTAAGTAGCAGGTTAATTGAAATAAGTGCTGCATAATTTGTTTTGCATATTAATTCAATGATAGACCTAAAAATATTTCTATAAAATTTTAAAAAATAAATTAAAAAATAATTTTGTTTATTACAGAATAATTTCTGAAAATTCAATAAAATTTTATAATTAAGTAATTCTTTTAGTGGTTAAAAATAATGCTGTTTTTTTTATCTGAATTTTTGGGATGCGGAATTATCATTATTTACATTCAGACTATTATTCCCATATTTGTTGCTAGCCCCACAACCAGTTTTGAATTCAGATTTTTCCTTCTCTTAGACTGGTTGCCAATTAAAGCTAGAAACCCAGTCTGCTAAGCTATATAACCCCTAGGTGAAAGTGAACACACCTACCTGCGCTAGGATTTGAACTTAACATGCCAATTTCACCTGTTGCACTGATAGCCGCAATACTACATGCACAATTCAATATATGTGATCTGAAAAATCTCACATCACAATTCCTATAATTACTAAACAGAATTACTGATTTAAAATTATTTTCAAAAGATTGTTATGTTGCAATCAAATTTTCTTCTTTCACTATGAAAATAATTCTTGAAAATCAAAGTATATTTAAAAAAATCATTGAAATACCTCCAGGGAAAAAAAACAAATTTCTTTTGAAAAAAATTAAAAGGTATTTTATCAAAACACAGCAGATAAAAATCAGAATTTTCTTTCATAAAACACGGGCACCATTATGTCTAAGTGATGGAAAAGGCTTGTACCCAAACTTCCTTGATTTTGCCTAATCATGAGCATGTCCCAATGAGACTTAAGAAATAATAAGAAAGATGATGCTGTGCAAATTTCACTTGCCATAAACAAATATTCACACACACACACACACACACTTTAATCCCCAATGAGTATTAGCTTCTATAATAGAAGTGATATTGCTTATTACTTCAAACATACCAATCTACACCTTTTACCATATCACAATAAACATCTCCACCATCACCACCATTTTTATTTTCATGTCTACCATCATATCCTGCATTATAACCATTCTAAGTACCATTGCTACCATTACTATAATCATCGTCATCATTCTAGCCTTGAACATTACAATCATATGATTTTAATAGTTTCAGGTTTCAGACTGTTGTAGCATTGAAGGAAGCTGTCAGTTTGTGTTTAAATCTGAGTAAAAAAACATAAAAGTGCTGTTTTTTTAATTTGTTATTATGCCTGCTGTGATGAGATTGGCATTAAAATTTACCTTTTCTTGTAGAGCCTTCTGTTTTTACTGTTTTATGAATGCATTTAACACTCAGAACACTTTTTCAAACCATTTCTTCTCGATCCCTTCTGCAACCGACCCACAGGCAAGCAAAAGGAAGATAACAGATAATCCTGAATCCTGTTTGAGGCTGCCAAATCTTCTCATTATTTTTAGATTAAAATTCTCAGGAAGAACATTCCAGTCTGCAAGTGTTTTCCGTGAAGACTCCAATCCCCAAAACCTTATCACAACCAATGTTTTCATTTTTGAAACACAGTGAACTATAATATTAAATATTTTTAAACACACACACATTATATGCATGCTGTCTTCATGAAATAGTTATTGAAAAATCTCAAAAGAAAAAAACAAATTCTAGCTTACATTGCTTAGTTTATTTTTTATAGATTATCAACCTTTTGTGGGTTTATCTAAAACCAAAATATATTTTAAAATTGTAAGAATAGTCTTTTTTTGTGAATGAATATTGCCTTAAAATTTTTACTTTTCTTTGGATCACAATGATTTTTTTCTATATACACAAGTCCTGTTATTCAACTCATAGATGAGAGAGAGAAGAAATGGATTCATGCCTTTTCTCAAGGATCATTGACTAGTCAGCCATCTAAAATTCAATGTTTTAGACAGATATTTGTAGAATTTACATGGCTTAACAAAAGCTTAAAAGTGTGAAGTACTCCATGAGAGTTGAACAACACTTCAGCAATAATGATCTCTGAGAACAAGGTTGCTATTATTTGTTAAATATATATATATATATATATATATATATATATATATATATCACTTAAACATTTTATATATATATATATATACTTAAACATTTTATATATATATATATATATATATATATATATATATCACTTAAACATTTTATATATATATATATATATATATATATACTTAAACATTTTATATATATATATATATATCACTTAAACATTTTATATATATATATATATATATATATCACTTAAACATTTTATATATATATATATATATATATATATAAACATTTTATATATATATATATATATATATACTTAAACATATATATATATATATATATATCACTCAAAATTTTTATATATATATATATATATATATATATATATATCCTTAAACATTTTATATATATATAATATATATATATATATCACTTAAACATTTTATATATATATATATATATATATATATATATATATATATAAAGCATCACACATTGAGTGATGGTGGGTATTTGTATTTGAATATATGTACGTGTGTATATACAAGGCAGTATCAAAAAGTTCCTGGAATAGTTATGTTTGAAAAAAAAACTAATACATTTACCTAAGTTATAACGTCATCTCCTTTGAAATAGTCAGTTTGCGAAGCAATTCACTGGTCTCAGCATTCCTGCTACTTTTGAAATCAAGCTAAAGAGTTGTTTTTGTAAGAGAGTTGATGACCTTCTGCAATTCACTCTGGATCTTGGCAATGATGTTAAAACAGTAACATTTGAGTAGAACACCCGATTTTTTAAACAATGTTTATTTTATCTACCAGCCCATTATTGCATTATTATATATATATATATATATATATATATATATATAGCAAATGCAATCATATTAAAATTCTTTTTCATATATTGCAATAATATAAAAATTCATTAAAAAGCATATTCCAATATTATTGAGGGTCTTGTGGAATCTTTCTAACAATATATATATATATATATATATCAGTCGTTATCCACAACCCTTCTCTGTGGCGCTGAAATTTGGACCCTGTACCACAAGCATATAAATCAACTTAATGCCTTTCACATGCACTGTCTTCATGTCATATATGATCTAAAAAATGGTATGACAGGGTCAAGAATAGTGTAATACTGAAGAAATGTAACATCACAGGCATTGAAACTATTCAAGCAAAGATATAACTTAGGTGGGCTGGTCATGTTGTGAGAATGGATGTGCACAGGCTTCCAAAAAAGTTGCTGTATAGATAACTACCAAACTCCAAGCTTTCAGTTGGACATCCACTCTTATGCTACAAAGACAACTTGAAAGACAACTTGAAACGTCTTGATCTGAAAACCGGAGAAGTCCAAGCATCAAACCGAAAGGCGTGGCATAAGACATGTTTCATTAAGTTAAAGGGTTTTGAAGACAGTAGACTGAAACACAGTGATCAGCTTCATCAAGCTCTGAAGCAGAGACAACATCAAAATCCTGATTTAACAAATTTCATCTGTCAGTGTGGCTTTGTTGCCCACAGCAAGGCTGGGCTAGTATCGCACTTAAGAAAGCACAAATGAAATATGTCTTTCCCTTACCTGATTTTCTTCACAATAGCCCCTGTTAGCATGCATAAGTGTAAAACGAAAGACACCATCCACTTCGATAGGTAAATTATCACCAATTTACATTTTTAATTTTGCGTATGTGCATTATTTGTTTTTGATTTTGTCAACTGCACAATATACTAGGGTCAGTTGGGCACTGTCTGTAAGAAAAAGAGCACCATGACACAATTCACTCTGCCAAAAATTTGGAAACACCTTGCTGTAGTCTTTGGCATTTGTTCTGGAAACTCCAATAAGAGCATTTTGGAATGTTTGGGTGTCAATCTGGGGACAGTGCAGAGGATTCAAAAAGAGTTACATGAGTCTAATGGTGATTACAAAGGTAGAGCAGCTGCGATCATTCTGATAAAAAAGAACTCCTGAATTTGTTGGTGAGAGCCTCAGACTCAACACAGAGGCCTACATCAAGTGCCTTGAGGAGGTAGTGCTGCTCTGGGTCAAAAGGGTGGCTGCTGGAAGACCCTATGTCTAGCAACAGGGCTCTGTACAATGCCACATAATCAGGAGAATCCAGTCATGGCTGTCAGACAATTTCTGCAAACACACCACCTCTTCCATCTGGCCACCTAACTTCCTAGACTGCAACCCCCCTTGATTATTATGTGTGGGACAAGGTTGACCGAGAGACTGACAAAATTGCTTGTAACACCAAGAATGAATTGAAGGCAAAGATTATGGCTGCATTCACCAACTTAAATAAAGAAACTGTCCAGAAGAATTGCCGGAGATTCCAAAGTCTTCTGAAGCTCATGGTTGAAGCCAATGGCGATTTTACTGAATAAATTTACTCTTCAGTATTTCAAGATATTTTTGTGTAATTTTGGTAAATGTATCTGTTAAAATGAGATGTTAGTGTTATTTTCATTTTTGCATAATTTTGTTGACAATTTGCCTATTTGAAAATTTATATTTGATGTTTTTTTCAATGAACTGGCATCATCAGAAAAATAATTTTATTTAAACTAAAAGCTACATGTAGTTTTTGTTAAAATAGAATTTTTACAAATTATCATATATATTTTTGTATGTTATATATCTATTAGATTGATCGACTGATTTGTTTTTTATGGGTTATTTAAAGCCAGAATATATTTTTAGATCGTAACAATTTTTGGAGATAAAAACAATTTACTGCTACAAGTTCTACTAATTAACCCATAACTGAGGGGAGAAGAGGTGAATTCATACCTTTTCCCAAGTGTATTTGCATATAAGTGACTATAACAAACCCAACTGCATATGGAACTTGGCCATTATCCATTATGCCACATGCACATCCAAGCTTACATCACCTGGTATTCCCAAGTGGTCACCCATCTAGATGCTGACCAGGTTCAACATTGCTTAACTTTGGTGATTGTGTGGGAACCAGTGTTTCTATGTGATATGGCTGTAACCCTGGAAGTGTAAAAATATCATGGAATGTTCTACTGGATTTTATATAGACAGACGGATGGGCATGCTTACTTTAAGGTGAAAACGTTAAATTTAATTAGCAAGCTCTGTCATAGGGGAGGTAATCCAGTATAGTGTGTTGATTAATTAATTCACATCATATGCAGACATGAATATTGCCAGATGCTATCAGTTTGTGAACACTTGAGGTTGAAATTGTGAGTAAATGTTTTTCATAGAAGGCGGAAAAATGAATAATGTCAAAGTTTATATGAGCAAAATGTCTCAGTTGGTCAAGAAAGAAGTATCTCTCATCAGAGAGAGATGAGAAGACAAATAGAAATTCTTCTTCTTCTTCTTCTTCTTCAATGTTTCATGTATCTTCAGGATGTTGGCAGCTCATATTTCTCCTAATCCCTATTCTGCCATCCATTTACACAATCTCATTAGGTAGGATATACACTGCTTGCTTCTGTCCATCTTGCCTTCAATATTTCCTGTTAGTGTCGAACTTTCTAAGCCCTCTTTTTTCATTATATGCCCTAGAAATTTCAATTTTCTCTTTCGGATATTAAGTATAAATGACTTTTTTGTTTTTATCTGGATCAATATTGCATGAATTATCATAGTATTTTTGTTGCTCTATTATCTTTTTGTTCCATGTCCTTTCAGGATATAGGCGATCATGGCTCTCCACAATTTCCCCACTTTTGTAGCTCTTAATTTTGTCTTTTTCTTATCTCTCTTAAACCCTGTTCTGCTATCCATTTACTCAATCTCACTAGGTAGGTTAAGCATTGTTTTTCTCTGTCCCTCTTGCCTTCAATACGTCCTATGAGTATCACATTTTCCAAGTCCTCTTTTCTTTTTTTTAATTTTAAAACCAAATATTTGTGGAACTGGAGGAAAAGTATTAGAAAGAAATATATATTTTTGTCTGAATTTTGTTAGATGTAATATTTGAATAATAATTTCTAATTTTCATATTTTGGCAAAACTACATGAAATGTTCAAAATATCCTAACAAAATTTACGACAGGAATTGTCATAATGGTAGAAACTTAATATAACATAGGAAGAGAGACAAACAGAAAATGTCTATCAAAAACTAGCATAGATATAGTATGTTCAGTGTTGGCACTGGGTTCCAATGCCTCTCTATAGATGGTAGCAATGAATCAATGATTATATCAATGGTCTCTTTTTTAATTCATTTTATTAGGGTAGTGAGACAGATGTGGCAGAATGAATTCTAAAAAGCAGCAGGAGGACAAGTTTAAAGGGAATGCATGCTGTTTATTGGCTTAGTGTCCCTCTATGTATGTTCTTAGCCTGTCTATTGAAGCCAGGTATGGGAAATGTATTGATTCTTCAAGATTCCTGCAGCCCTCTGTTGACCAGGCTGTTTTGGACATATATCCAAAACTTAGACAAAGGAAATCCATCACTGTCAGAATACCATGCCCACAAGGTAGTCTTACCAATCTCTGACCATCCTGGCCCAGCCTCTTCATTCTGTAACAGATGTATAACTGTCTTATATTTCTCTGCAAATGCAGAGATCAATATCTAACTCCAACAAGTTTAAATATTGAAAGATAGAGAAACAAAAACTAGATCTGACATGTATGAAAATGGATTCATGTATTTCATTGGAATAACATTCAACATTTCAGAAGATATCAGAAAAAGGCCAGAAGGTACATGCATTTTTTTTAAATAAGGAAAAAACAGGGAAATGGAAAATAGTCCAAACAAAGCCACAAACAATGATTAAATACATATTTCTTGAATGAAAAAATATTAAGCTATAAGAGGAAACACAGTGAGACATTAAAATATTTGTGTCTCATGTATTTTAGGTAATGAGATATTTCATTATCATGGATTGAACGTGATAGTGAGTAACAAAATTTTTTAAGGAAAATAGAAAGAAAAAGAACACTTAGAATCAGAAAGTGACAATTGCAATTTCTATGGTACATAATGAGGAAAGAGAGCTTGAAGAATTTGACACTCACAGGACATATTGAAGGCAAGAGGGACAGAGGAAAGCAGTAAGTAACCTACCTAACAAGCTTCTGTAAATAGTTGGCAGAACAGGGAGTAGAAGGAATATCAAAAAGACAGACCTTACTCAGTGCTACAAAGGGCAGGAAGTTGTAGAAAGCCATGACTCCCCACAACCTGAAGCAACACAGTACATAGAAGGAGAAATAGATAAAAGGTTAATAGGATCATAAAGTGATGTAATGAATATGCGTACACCTGGGTTCCTCCTCACAGCAATATGATTGGCTGGTGTCAGCCATAAATACAGACTGATGTGGAGGTATATGGACTATGCCTATTGTCTTTGCCTATTGCCTACGCCTATTGCCTACCACTATGACAAGGACCAGTCCATTACGGTTACCAGCTAGATTGTCCTACCCAGTTACAGTAGTCAACAACCACTTTGCTACTTCGAACAAATATATCCCTTTCTGGGACATATCATAAAGTAATATCTTATTAGTAAGTAGGGGAGTCAGGCTACTGATGCATTGCTTTTTATTTCATTTATTTCATGTGATATTTTTATTTTTAATGATTTAGAAAGCATGGTTCAAAAGTGATTATGTGGTCTTGTGGGTGATAAATTATTTTCCACTCTGCAGCCTCTATCCCACAGAAGAAACACTGCTGGACATTCACTATGTTATTACTATGACTATGGCAAATTTTCAGATGGGTAGAATTCATCAGTTCAGACCTTCACAGGTGCTGTAATGGATAACGGCTCAGAGTAAGAAATCAGAGATCCAAGTTTGAATTATCATTCACTTACATGCAAATACCATTAGGAAAAATTTGAATTCACCTCTTCCCCTTAAGCTATGGGTTAAATAATAGAACTTGCATCTGGGAAAATTGTTGTTATTCTCAAAAAATTGTTAATGCAATATTCACTCACAAAGAAAAAAATTATTCTTACAATTTAAAAAATATATTTTGGCTTTAAATAACCCACAAAGGTTTGATAAACCATAAAAAAAAATCAATCACAGCTAGGACCTGTCATACCATGTTTATGACATCAGATCATCCCCATTCCGTTTGTATTCCTTCAGTATGGAGTCAGTTCCACTCAGACAACTTCCTCCCCAAAACTGTGGAACAGTCTCCCAAGAGGATACTTAACCAACCACTACAATGTTAATCTCCTCAAGTCTATGTCCAACTGATATCTATCCTACATATTTTCATATTCTGCACTTCTTTCTTTCTTTTAAAAAAATCTCACCCTGTAACAATCTATCTTGAGTGGCTCTTAGGTGAACTAATTTCATTTTTTATTCTTTCATGCAAAAATATAGTTAATTGTACAGAAAAATCTGATTACTGATTCTGGAAATATAACTTATGCAACTGCAAAACTATTTAAATATTTGTTATCCATGGTACAAATAAACAAATTTATATGAAGATTACATCGAAAAGTTTCTGCAATAATTTTAATATTTATTAAATGATTAATTTTAAAGTCAGTAAATTATACTTATAACGTCAAATGTTATTTACTAAACTTTACTTTGTCTGGTTTATTCTTTTATATGCCATGTCTTTTCAGGAGCATGGCTTTCTACAACTTCCTATCTGTTGTAGATGTAACTAAAATGTGCCCCCTCACTATCCTTCTCAATCCCTCTTCTATCCACTTATACAAACTCGTTAGGTAGGCTGCTCAGTGTTTCCTACTCCCACTCCTACCTTCATTATCTCCAGTGACTATTAAACTTTCTAAGTCCTCTTTCCTCATTATGTCCAAGAAATTTTAACCATCTTTTTCTGATTTAAAGTATAAATGTCCTTTCAGTCTTGTTTTCTTTCAAAATTCTCATACTCTATCTATGATGCATCCTTTTTTTGTGGAACCAAATCTCTGTTAGGAAATTGTCCAGCCTCCATATAGGAGGACAGATATTATATAGCACAGTGGATAAAGGCGTTGGTTAGATCCAGTGACAGGACCCAAAGAGTGTGAGTTCAATACCTGGTTAAGGTGGTGGAGAACTTGGAGAGGGGAATTAACAGGAGATAACTGATAACTGACATCCATTAAACATGGCACGTGGAACTAGAACAGTCTACCCCAGGGAGTGACATAAAGGGTTCAGTTCAACATTCAAGCCACCTGAAGAAGGCCGGAGCGTACAACAGCCGAAACATCGTAATAAATATGATGACAAAGATGAGGACAATAGTCTGAATAATGTAAATAGTGTACATAATACCTCATCGCAGAAATATAGACAGATACAGAGTTAAAAGGATTTCATAATACAGAGATAGATAAATAGATAAGTCACATTACCGTGACAAATTTCTACTAGTACGGAAATAATCCGAGGTACATCAATAATGTCTGCAGCATAAAAATGAATGCTGTTTTCATCATAAAACAATTAGGAGAACTTTTAATTTGACATGTTTCACCAAACAACCAGCATTGTCAGAAAACATATTTAAAATAAAAATCTGTTTTTCTGATGTTGCTGATAAACTACTCTCTCCCAGAAACTGTAATTACAGTCCTCTAGGTTGGTACTGTAGACATTGAAGAAGCATAATCAAAAAGCAGCAACCAATTATTATTATTATTATGATTATTATTATTATTATTTCCTTTGATTTCTGGTGTGCACACATTTCTTTCCCAGAGACCTAAAGTTAGAAATGGCATCATGACATTTTCCACTGACCAATTAAAAAAAAACACACACACATATTTTACATGGATAAAGCCCTTCATAAGGTGTGGGCTGTACTAGTGAGAACAATTCTTTGTATTTCTTTAAGGCATGGGCTTCCAAGAATCCCTTCAATCAGTCTACTGGAATTTTTTCCAACCAATCTGAGGTTTCCAACTACAACAGTGATTGTTGATGTTCCCATGTGCCACATTTTTGAGATTTCGATTTCAAGGTCTTTGTATTTTGATAGCATTTTGAAGATCT